TTTCATATTTGTACATGCAAAGAAGGATACACTGGAGATGGACAGTTATGTCAAGGTAGAGTATAGCCTACACTATCTAAAACAAGTAGCTTTGCACAGAAACAATTACCCATGGAAATTAGCCCTCATTTTAGAGACCTGTTGTTACCCACCACTATCGTATTTCTATTACCATACTTTTTGTATATCACTTATGCTTCTAGATATCGACGAATGCAACAATGGAAGCCATGATTGTGACGTAAATGCGAATTGTACAAACACTTATGGTTCCCATAGCTGCACCTGTAAGGAAGGATACACTGGAAAAGGAGAGTCGTGCCAAGGTAAAATTAGATTATACTTTAAAAAAAAGCAGAATAACTGTTCATCACAAATAATTGCCTTGTTATCCAACAAACTGGCTGAAGAGTTTTTTTCTCTATTCAGTTACCCATTGCGAATCTATTGTGTTCACAGATATTAATGAATGCAACGATGATGTTTGTGATGCTAATGCTAACTATACCAACACTAATGGTTCACATAATTGCATCTGTAAGGAAGGATACATTGGAGATGGACAGTCTTGCCAATGTATATTAGAACAGCAATACCTTATGTTGAGCAAAGCACCTTTCCATTACCAGTATTGTCTTCGTAACTAGGCTAATGATCAAGAGGCAGTGCAATGGTTTTCACGCCCCTACCTCGTATTTCTTTTAAGTTACGGATATCATAATATGCATAGATACACAGTTTTCGCTGGTTTAAAATATAATACGTGCGGATATTTTACGAGTTGCTTAGAGTGTTTCCGAGCCCAGAGGGAACGATATCTTACCATTGAATAAGAGATACATCATTCCACTATTATTAGGATGTTTTTCTCGAATATGCGGCCACGCTCGAATAACCACCCCCACCTTACCCTTCTCCTCCCTCACTTTTTTAAATAGTATAGATACAAGGAAAATATGTTTCTATTGCCACACTTTTTTATATAACTTTTTAACTTCCAACAACAGCGCAATCTGTACAGCAGAATAATTTATTTTCCATACGAAAATATTTTCTATGTTCATGTGGTTGCAGAGTTCCTTTATGTATTATCGATTATTTTGATTTTATGTCCTATTGCTGAGATAACTTAAGAAGCGCCCCTCTCGACTAGTCGAGGACGCATCCCCCCTACAAATAAGTGCTCCCTCCTCTCTCCCCCCCCCCTCAGCCCAAGCGCTCATTGAAAATGTCTAATATTTCAATCATTAAAGTACACACAACATCGCCTGAGGAACTAAACATGTATCTTGCGGAGTTTATTCGCTCTTTTCGACTTAAAGACAGAGAATATTATGAGCCTTCAGGCTTAATATGCCTTGTTTCAAGTTCTGAGAGGTATTTTGATATTTTTTGCAAGCTGTCAGTATGTTGCATTATTTCTATCGAGAAGGGAAATTTATATGATTTATATCTTTCATGATCGATTTATAAATCATTGACTTAAGTCTGTTTAACAGTTAATTGTCATTAGACGAATTATACCTCCTTATATACATGTAAACTAGATAATAAACCTAACACTTCATAAAAAGTCTGTCCATATGGTATGTAAACAATCGTTCATACATGAAAATATGCAATGTGATTTACAACTGTAGACATGGCAGGTGGAGTGAAATCCAAAAACGAACAACATTTATCCGGCGAATCGTTATTCTTATGGCCAAATCCAGTCCTGTGAATGCGATACATCCAGTGGCTATGTATGTATTGACCTCCATGTTGTGAATTGTGCCGATCATTATTGAACTGAGACATGAGAAGCGGCTGTGTTCACAGGCTAGAAACTGCACTAACGTTAGTAAACTTGCGCGTTACAAATATTTCCTATCTCTATCAACTGAGGACGTTATCTTCTAGACATTGATGAGTGCAGTGAGGATTTTGTCGTCAAGATGAACGACTGCCATCTGAATGCCTCTTGCGTTAATACCCAGGGCTCATACAACTGCTCTTGCAATCCTACCTATATTGGGAATGGTTCTATATGTGAAGGTAAGTTTATTATTTTCAGTCTTCGTAACTTCATAATGTACGTCTAGTTAAATGTTACCAAGGAGCGCGCAGTATTATTAGTATTATTGTTATTACTATAACTATTATTATCATTATTATTACTATTTAACTTAAATTTCTACAATATTTTTCGTACACCTAGAAACTCAAGAAATGAACTTCTTATATTTTTCCTCCTTTTATTTATTTCTTTTTTATTTCTATATTATTTCTAGTGTAATTTAATTAAGTTAAAGTAAAATTGACCCCCTCCCTGTTTAGCATCTGCTATCTTTGGGTCAAAGGAATGTGTTTTATATATATAAATATATATATATATAAATGTGGGGGTAGAGTCTACCTTGGCGTAAAGTGCTCAATGTTGCGGTAGCAGAGCTAAGTATACATAAGTTAAAGAATTAAAGAGGACGCATCGATTCTCTGTTACTCTGATTATTCGAATAAAGTTTTGTCTGACGAGCGCTTAGGCGAAAACTCAGATTAACAGAGAATCGATGCGTCCTCTTAATTCTTAAACTTACGTATAAATATATATATGATGATGATATAAATATATAAATGATGGTGAGGTGAAAGTGAGAAGTCCATAGCTTCAAGTGATTCCTTTGAGCTACGTTATGGTAAAAAAGATGATAAGATTTTCCTTTCACAATTATTATTGAACTTTTTAGCCGATCCATGTTATAATTACCGCAACCTAAGTGAAGCTAACAGAAAAAGCAGTTACAGCACGCCGCATGGTTCAGAGTTATGTGACAACTCACTCCCTGAGGGATGGTATCGTTTTGTGGGAGCTGCAGGAACAAAAATGCCAACAACGCGTGTGCCAGCATTCAGATGTGGTACAGTCTGGTCAGGCTGGTTGAATGGTGCTCATCCTACAGTGGATAATGATGAAGTTTCAAGAAAGGTCTGCTATAGTGATCGTAGCTCCGGTTGCAGACATTCAAGCACAATTTCAGTTAAAAATTGTGGATCATTTTTTATTTACAAACTTGCTCAGCCCCCTATTTGTTCTTCCCGCTACTGTGGCACGGACTAAATCTGAGTCTAATAACTTCACAAAATGAGATACGTCATAAAGAGATTCTTGTGAACAATGTACTTTACGACTTACCGTAGCCCACTCCTTATCGTAATCGTTAATACCATCGTTATATAAGCTGGTGCATATTGCCAATCGTTTTACGTCGGTGACAAACTGTTACATGTTATATATATTATAAGAGTTCTAATGATGGTGGGTATCAAATCTCATTTGATTGATAATTAATAAGAACTGTCAAAGGTCCAGGTAGTGTCTTTAATTAGAAAGTAAGTTTCTTGATCCCAGATACCGATCGACGCTTCTGGTATAAGTTGTCATCCCATAAAACATCTGTTTAAAAGCTGGATTATTAGACAATCACTAAAGTATCTCGCCTCAATGGTACCTTAATACGTTTACTATCAATAAATTCATTATCATCTCTGGGTTTATTAATTTATCTGGTCTAAAATTTTGTTAAAGGTAACAGAAGTAATGGCTCCTGAGGTAATTAAAGTGGCTGGAAACTGTTTTCCGAAACACCCAAATGCTAAAGTTGTATTCAAAGCGCTTGAAACCAACTTTCCTTCTTCATAGTCGAACCAGTATTACACATGTGTTGACCAAAGGACTGAAGTTCTAAATAGTGGACGTGGCATAGCAATCGATATTATTATACAAATGTCATAGGGAAATCCTGTTAAACAGTTTTTAGGGTCGGTCCAGGAAATCTCTGGATATATTTTACACAACTTCAGAATTTTTCCTTCTGAGGAAACGCCTCGCTGATTGGTTCCTTTTAATGAACTAGAATTTTTTCGACATCGACATTTACCCCTTCACTCTCGTTGGTTTTCTGTTACACCCTTGGTATGAGGTCGCCTCTTTTTGCTAACTGTCTTGTGACTCTTTTTGCGCCATTGCTTTTTCTGTGATTTGGAGCTGAATACCTTCCGTGTGACTTGATACTTTCACGGAATGGGGTGGACAGGCAGAGAAGTGGGTGCAACTTCCGCAAGTTATGTCATCTTTTAATAGTTGACAACGGAAGCGAGTTTATCCCCCCACCCTCCCACTTCTCATCCCAGTTTCTGGACCCCAAGGGTGCACTCTAGATAACGGAATGCTTTAAAAGTATGTTGCATTTGCATGAAAAAGGATGGCTACTGAAACGAAGTCAACTGCAATTCGCAAAAGTTTATTTGGATTTGGTGCACACTTTTTGGATGCCGTTGAGCTCGTGCAACCATATTTCGGAGATAGGGTGGTTACCAAGCGCTGAACATTGCTCGAGCTACAATCTCAAGTCCAGGTTCATTTTAGCTCCTTGTCAGCGGTATGATCGCCAAATAATGACTTCTGGGAGAATAGATTTATTCAATTTTTCTGATTGGTTGTTCGGAAAACAATAGACTCCTCACAGGAAGTGTGATCTACGGAAGGGATCGATCGGGCCGGAAACAGGGCGTTAACAACGACAAATTAAAATTTATTTTGCTGTTATTATTGTTGTTTTTTGTTTTTTTTTTGCATGAAATTTTTCGATTGTAAACTGCCTGTCGATGCGTTAGAAAACATACAACCACGTTCGCTGCATGCTGCAATGACAGGAAGCTGTTCTTCATGGAACGATGGATTTCTCTCGTTGTTGTAAAAGACGCATAAGTAGAAATAACTCATTATATTGATTTGTTTGGAGTAAAAAGCAGAAAAGAAGGCCTTGTTAAGGCCGTGCAAGCATACGGAAATGTAAATGTAAAAGAGTACGACATCAGAATAGCATATGTCGGATATGCTTACTACAATCTTGTTCTCGGTATCAAAGAAGAAATCGAGAAGTTTTGCTAAATATGCAAAGAAAAAAAGCCAAGAAAAGGGTTCCGTTCTTGAAAAAACAGAAATTAGGTCTTTCGCCGTCCAAAGCCCTTCTCAGGCCACAATTTTTAAATTATTTACAACTTCCCTTGTTCCTGTTCTTATGTCCGGCCAAGCCTTTATCGTCATTGGCCCCCCTATAGCCGCTAATTATGGCTTACAAATACGGGCGTTTGGTGTTAACTTGTTAAACTCCCTTATGAAGTCTACGACAGTTAGACGAAACGTGTCGGAGAATAAAGAAGTTTTACAGCTACTGTTCGCAGAGTGCTTCTCACTAGTTTAGTTTTAAAAATATAATTTAAAAACTTTTTAAACAAATTTGACACCCCAGTTTGTTTGTTTAGACAGAGCAGAATATAAAAGTAGTACATTGTGTATATCGCTATTCTGAGTATTGATACATGAAGAGGCCAATAAGGTCAATTGAGTAAAATACATTTTTAGTTGAAGGCTTTTGACCAATATTTCGATAAAATTGAAGATACTTAAGAAGGAAACTCCTATTAAATGGTTAATAAGTGAGTGAATCTACTGCTGTGACAAACATAATCAGTAGGTCATCCAAGGTGAGTGAAATTTGGGACAGCATCGATCCCAGCGTGCTTTGCAAAATAAAAAATAAAAAAATTTGGCGGAGAGATTTTTCGTTCTGTTCGCTTTCCACGGACATTCAAGGTCACAATACCTCCTGGGCCTATAAATAGCGGTCTAATCTTTGTTTTCACCGAAATTTACAGAAATTGTTGTTGCTGTTGCAATCAGAAAACTACTCAGTGTACTGTAGGAATTCAGATATATCTTCGGATCAAAAGAGATCACAAATCGATAGAACACATGTTAAAACCGTCTCCACTTTAGCTAACGGCTTTGCGACGCGGAATCTAAAGAGTCTTTTTTTGCTATGAAGATGCACCTTTAAATAAATATCAATGATATTTGAGAGATGTTATCGCAAACTGTACCAACACTAGTGATTCTCATAAATGCACTTGTAAGGAAGGATACACTGGGGATAGACAGTCATGTCAAGGTACAACAGATTAGTATAAACAGCTTTTGGCGTTAGGTACGATGTTAATGACTAAGAATCTAAACAGGTTTTCTTCTATATTAAGGTTTTTCTGGTAAATAGTTTATGTTAATAGATGTCGATTAATGTAACGATAGACGCCATACTTGTGATGCTAAGGTGAATTGTTCCAACGCCAATAGTTCGTATCATTGCACATGTAAGGAAGGATACACTGGAGATGGACAGTCATGTTAAGGTGAAAAAGAGTAGCTTACACCATTGAAACGAGCAGCTTTGCTCGTAGACAATTGCCCTTGAAAATTGGCCCACATTTCAGTGACCTGTTTCAACGCACTACTGTCGTAATTCTATGTATTAACTTTTATACATTACTTATGCTTCTAGATATCGATGAATGCAGTAATGGAAGCCATGATTGTGATGTAAATGCGAATTGCAGAATAGCTGTTCATGACAAATAATTGCCTCGTGATCCGAGAAACTGGTCAAGACTGTTTTTTCCTCTATTCAGTTACCCTTTGCAAATCTATTGTGTTCACAGATATTGATGAATGCAACGATGGCAGTCATGTTTGTGATGCTAATCCTAACTGTACCAACACCAATGGTTCTCATAATTGCATCTGTAAGGAAGGATACTTTGGAGATGGACAGTCTTGTGAAGGAAGATTGGAACTGCGATACTTTTTGTCGGGCATAGCAGCTTTCCATAATAAGTATTGTCTTTATAACTAGGCTCATGATCAAGAAGCAACGTAATGATTTTCACGCCCCGATCTCGTATTTCTATTACTTTGCGGGTTTAATCGTACAGATTAAAAGATATATTTTACAGGTTGCTTAGTATTTTTCCGAGCCTGGAAGGAACAACGATAAATAAGAGCAATGAACAAGATTTATTCTCGTATTACATTAATAAACCATCGAATAAGGGATTTATCATTCCACTATTACTTGGAATATTTTTCTCGAATGTGCGGCCACGCTCGGATAACCTTAAGCCTTCTCCACCCTCGCTTTTTAAAATAGATACAAGAAAAATCTGTTTTTACTCCCACACTTTTTTTTACAACTTTTCAGCCTTCAACAACAGCAGGGTCAGTATAGCAGAATAATTTTATTTTCCATACCAGATTTTTCTATCTTCATGTGCTTGCAGAGTTCCTTTATGCATGATCTATTCTTTTGATTTTTGTCCTATTGCTGAGGTAACTTAAGAAGCGCCCCTACCGACGAATCGAGGAAGCGCCCTCCCCACAAATAAGTGCCCCCTCCACCCAGTTTTAGCCGAAATTTCCAGTAAGCGCCCAGGCGCTCATTGAAAATCTCAATTTTTTCAATAATTGAAGTACACAAAATTTAGCCTGAGGAACTAAAAATGTATCTTGCGGAGTTTATTCACTCTTTTCGACATAAAGACAGAGAAGATTATGAGCCCTCAGGCTTCACATGCCTTGTTTCAAGTCACGAGAGGTGTTTTGATATTTTTTCTAGCTGTCAGTCTGTTGCATTATTTCTATTGAGAAGGGAAATTTATATGGTTTGTATCTTTCATGATCGATTTATAAACCGTTGATTTATTTTTTAGCAATTAATTGTCATTAGAGAGGAGAAGAATTTTGGTTCACGCCGTGCGAAATGTTGGACATATATATATTCCTTTATCTGAAAATCTGTCTGATGATCTCGTAAGAGTGAAACTCAGAGTCAGAGAAAAGTTATGTCTTATTGATTTGTCCAACTTTCAGATACGCATACGCATAGAGCACTATACTGCAAGGATAGACTGTAATCAGGATTTATTTATATATCCCTTTTTAAATATACTGAGTTAAAAAAATTCCGTCTCTCTTGCACTGTCTCCGCACCGGAGGCTTACTACATTGCTGATACTAACAGGGAAGGGTACTATATATAACTCCGTTTTAACTCGTTCGTTTCTTGTTACAAATCTTTACTATATCTCTCAACTGACAACGTTCTCTTTTAGGCATTGACGAGTGCAGTGAGGTTTATGGCGTCAAAATGAACGACTACCATCCCAAAGCCTCTTGCGTTAATACCCAGGGCTCATACAACTGCTCTTGCAATCCTACCTATATTGGTAATGGTTCTATACGTTAAGATAAGTGCCAATGTAGGTCCTGCTAAATGTTACCAATGAGCATAAAGGGAAGGGGAAGGGAAGCATAAATCCGTGTAACCTAATACGCTAAGAAATTACTGTCACGATGAAAATTTCTCTGCGCTAATGTAATTTAACTTTGTAGGCGATCCGTGTTAAAAATGCAAAAATCTGAGTGATGCCACCAGAAAGAGCAGTTACTCAACACCGGTACAGGGACTAGCCTTTTTATCAGGGGTGGTGGGGATGGTTAGGGTATTTGTCTTTGACTGGAAAAGTTTTTTAATTCTGAAAAAGAACAGTTTAAATTTTTTTCTTGTTATAATTATAATTATTATTATTGTTATTGTCTTATTTATCATTATCATTATTATTATTTAACTTTAATTTCTACAGTAAATTTCTT